AGTTAATCAATGTTTTGATTTTTTCATTTTTTGACTTTCAACTGTTTCGGTTTTCCTGTTCTTCAATTCTTCAATTTTTTCCAATTTCTTGATATTTTAATTTTTCAATTTTTAAAATTTTAGATTTTTCGATTTGTCCATTTTTCAGTTTTCTTTGTTTCGATATTTTGATTGTTCAGTTTCTCGATTTATGAATTTTTCAATTTATAATTTTTCAATTTTTATTTTGGCTTTATTTGTGTTTCTCAGATTTTTCGATTTTCCAATTTTGCAATTTTTAACTTTTCGTTTTTTCGATTTTGACCTTTTTCGACTTCATGACTTTTCGGTTCCTCAATATTTCAATTTTTTAATTTTTTGATTTCTCGATTTATTGAGATTTGGATGTGTCGATGTTTTGATTGTTCACTTTCTCGATTTATCAATTTTTCTATTTTTAATTTTTCTATTTTTCAATTGTGGGCTATTTGGGTTTCCCAATTTTTCGACTTTTCGACTTCTCGATTCTCGATCTTTTGATTTTTCGATGTCTCGGTTTTTCGATTTTCCAGTTTTTCTATGTTTCGATTTTCCAAATTTAGAAGTTTTGATTTCTCGATTTTTCGTTTTTCAGGTTTTAAATTTTCAGAAATTAGAATTTTTCATTTTTTCGATTTTTTGATTTTCAGTTCTTCGATATTTCTATAAGTATTTACATTTTTCGGTTTTACGATTTTTTATCCTTCGATTTCTTGAGAATCTGGTTTTTCAATTTTAAAAATTTTTCGATTTTTAGATTTCTCGATTTTTCAAGTTTTTGTTTATTTTAATTTTTCATTTTTTCCTCAGTGTTCATATCATACAATGTACACAAAAATTCTCATTAAAAACATTTAAAAATTCATACAAAGTGGAACACAGTGTTTTCAAAACATAAAGAAATCCGGTGGATTAATAAAACCGTCTAAATATGTAATAAAAATGTTCACGCAGAAATTATAGTTCAAACCAACTAAATCGCTTCTGAACGCTTAGAGTCGACATTGGCCTAACCGCGCTCTGGTCTGTAGTTCAAACAAGTTCTCAGACGGCGAAAGGTTGAAAAATTGGTCTAAGTTTATGTAGACAGAACTTTCCTCGTTCTTGAAGTTCCTAAAGGATTTTTTTTTTATGATAATCTTTACAAATTAAAAAATAGATAATAAGCGTATTGTATAAAATGTTATTATACAACTTTAATTTTTTTGCGAAAATTTTAATGGCAAAAACTCAAGGCGGATTCATAAGCAAAAGTATGTTGTTTTATAAAATTTAAGTATTTAAAAAAAAATGTAAGGAGCCCACCAAATTGTTGGTGGGGATGATCAAACAAATTTTGGTTACGATATTCCTACAAAATTTGATAACAATCAGTCCGGTATTTTTAGAGATGATTTGTCTATTGAAATTAAACACAAACAGCAAACAGACGACAAACGATAAATGGCATAGAGGCGGAAAAGCGAGACCTACTTTTTCGTACTCTAGAAGTCATGAAACGATGAGAAAACTGAAAGTAGTCATTCATTAGTTGTAGTGTCTTCATATATTCCGATTTTTAAAAATTGAGTATATAGGGTGTCTCAAAAATTAATGAATGGAGGAATTTATTTTAATAACCCACAAAAAAATAATTGGCATTTTAACTTATAGGGTCATAGTTACAAAAAAATAAAATTCGCTAATAATTTACACGACATCAAAATTGATTCAGAGAGTTAGTAAACCTGAACTGAAATAATTTAGTTAATTAAGCTGTCGAAAAATATTAACTGGTAGATTTGAAGTTTCAGATTTCAAATTTAAAAACGCAGTGGCGTTTTTTTTTAGGTGGAGCTGAACACTTTCCTAAATTTAAGGGTGGGTATAAATTGGAGAGGTTCTCTTGTCGCACCAGTGGATTAATTGCCACATAACCTCACTCAAATCTGTCATAAGGTTGACAAACTTGACGCCAGAAACAGGGAGTAGGTTGTACCTACCAACTCTTTGAATCAATTTTGGTGACTCTGTTTATGACATTACATCAAAAATTATAAAACGGGTGGGAAAGTTTCTACTTTCTGACTTTGTTCATAAATAAGTGTTTTGAAAATATCCATTATAACAAATTCAAAAAGTATAAACGTGCACTGAAAGGTATTTTAGGTTTCATAACTCCACGAAAATTTGATACGGTTTCTCACAAAAAATTGTTTATTTTATCAGTTGCAAGAAGTTGATTAGAATGGAAAATTGACAAACGTGTGTTTTAGAATGCTCAGTATGGGGACCGGTTTTATTTACCCTTATACGAATGAGTTAGAAGGAAATGTGGAAACAAACACTACATGTATTGACGTAGACCCTTTTTTATAAACGCCAAAGCAAAAAAAAAACCAGAAGGGATGAGATACACATTTAGTCTGCATCAAACAAACTTAAATTGAGAGAAACTAAAACTCATCAACTAAAAGTTTCCACATAAAGCCGTTTTCTGATTTTGATAGAGGTTCTAGTTTTACCATTCGATAGCATGTTAGACCAGAATGAACATATAAATAATTATGTAAGAAATTGACATCAATTTTATAATACGACAGATGAAAATAATCGCTACTCACGAAATTGCCTCTCCAAAAAATTAGATTCTTACGCAACAAAAAATTAAAACAAGTTGCCGACCATTATTTATACAGAAGGTTACCATCCCACAGTCGTATGTGTATAGATCATATAGTGTTCTACATTGAACGTTTTTCTATTCAGTCAATAGAAAAGTAGTGGTTGTATTTTCCTATTAATATACTTATAACAATGTTGAAAAGTAACATTTGAGTGGTTACACATACTTAAATCAAAAATGTTCTAGATCAACAATGAAAATTAAACTCCTTTGAAACATTTTCAAATAACATGTTGACGTGAAGATACCCGGATTAATTAATTATGATACAAAGTAAACATATAATTGACGCCCTCTCTCTAAAGCCAGGAAGCTGTTTTCTCTATCTGAACCACACGGTAATCATATCAGATTGTACACCTTATTTGAGTCAAAGTAAACGTGTTGCTTTGGGGTTAACTTTTTGCCAACTTCCACGTATAAAAACTAAAGCAAATGTATTAAACAATTTCCAACACAAATAAGACCACTCTGTTATAGAACATACAACAATTTAATTAAACTGAAGCACCGTATCAGGATGACCACCAACGTCAGATTCGGACACTGGTTAAACTCCATTACATGATCAAGTTTACAGTGGAAAAAGCGCCGACACTTCAGAACACCAACCGCAAGTGTAATAAATGAAATCTGAATAACCCGAACGAAAGATAAGATAAAATACTCTTGGCTTGGATGGTAAACACGTATATTTATTGCATTGTTTTGGTAACAAAACAGTTGAAACTATGGATATATTTTTAAATAATCTCAAACGCATTAAACCCGACATGGAATAATTTATGCTGGATTTATCGAAATGCAAAAACACACAAATTGTTCAGTTATGGAGTGCATGCACGCAAATAGGTATCGCTCTCGTGCGTTTAAACGTTGCATTTTAATAAATTTTCCTCATCCGAAGCATGAAAAATGTTACTGTGATTTACTGCACCGGGAACACTTGTCAATTTCGCCTAATCTGATTGTTACGGTGTGCTATGTATCTTGTTCGAAATAAATAAATACTGTGCGGTCATGAACGTGTAAAACTATGCCTAGTAGTAATTATTTTAACTCGTCATTTATTTAATAATAAGTTTCTTGGCGCTTCACAGCTAATAGAATAAGAAAATGAGAGCTTTCTGTTTCCGTCTGTTTGTCTGCTTGTTTGCTTTCTGAGTGAAATTTATTTGCTTGTATAAACACTGCCAGTAATCTCATTCTATCACCATACGTTTACAAAACGTAGAAAACGAGGTGACGAAAGGGGAAGGGAGGGTGGTCGGATGCTTTCGGAATTCGGGACAAAGATCCGCAAGGCGTGGCCTCAGACACGTTCAAGTTTCGCCATAGAAGTGACGCAAAATTGGATTTTTGCGAGGAACTGTCGCATTTTTAGGCCAAGATTAACGCAAACCGCAGGTCCCGAAAAATGATTCTAGAAACAATTTACTAGTTACATAATTTGAAATCTTAGAAAAACCTTACATTTTGATTAGTGTCACATTGTTCAGGAAGCAGAATCCTCACTCAAACCCTGCGACGTCACTAAATGTTATAAATATTTAGTGAACATGTCAAAGTGAAATTATTAAAATGTGTGAAGTGTGAGATTATCAAACTTTAAGAGTGGTAAAACGGAACATTTGCTCTTTGGGGGAGGTTATTTTCTTACAACACGCAATACCAACATGTCGCTAGTACAGTGCTTTGTTAAAAATTCACTGCCCACTTAAATAATCGCCAGCAAGTTGAAAAAATGTTGACGTACCAACGCATAAAGTGATATTTTTGCGCTATTGTGCCTCCACCTACAGTAGATGGCGTTGTATCTAGAGCCCTAAATCGACCACTATTTCGCCTACATAGACGTCATACCCGAGAATTATTAAATTTTGCTGCGGTTCAGACACCAATTTTTTAGGTGTACTTTTCACGTAGGTAACTTATGAGTAACAGCAGGATACAATTTTCCACGCCATATTTCTGATTGTTTTTATTAAAACAATATATTTCTTACAATTAGTATAGTTTGTTAACAATCGATGATTAGCGAAATGGACTCATCAGAATAATTGTTTTAATGCTTGTTGTCCCAGAGCTAATTTTGTTAATAATGGACCTTTTTAATAACCTCTTCGTTAAAAAAAACCTTTCGCTGTTTGTGAAAGCTGCTTTAATGTAGCATTCCACATTAAAAAACTTGTACGTGTTATACATATTTTTGATATTTTTTGTTATGACACGTTCAGCTGTTTTGTGTTATTAATTTCGCTTCATGTTTAACCGAGGTGTGCATTTTATTGTTATATCGTTCATATTTCTGTTCCAGACAAAGCTCTCCCTGCAAATAAAGTTTGTGGCCTTTACGACATACCACCGGAATAGTGCTGTAAATTAATTGACGAAGTTTGTAATGGATGGTAGCGGCAAGGTATAATAACTGTAGATAAACTCCTATTTTGGCGAGATTTATTTTTCGTACATTAATAAGTTAAACAACATCAAAACATACACGCTGAAAACATGCGCATGATTCGAACAAAAATATAAAATTCTTCAGAAAATTGTGTTTAAGTTGGGTTGAAAATAAATGTAAAAAACATTACCGTCCGGGGAATCCTAAAACGTTTACGAGCCGTTATATTCGATTTTTAACAATCGCTTTGGTGGGTATGTAGTCATAAAAATAATTGAAACTCAATTTCCGATATCGAAACCGGATGCTGGTTTTATTTTTTGAGTTGATTTCGCGTTTTTCGCAGGCAACAATAAAATGTGTGCCGCCAATAATGAAGCGCCATTAAAGATACTACTGGCAGATTATATTAATGTCTTGAAAAGCGTCGTCAAAAAAAATTCGGGTCTGGGTAGGCTGTGCAAAAAATGTCGGAAATTGAGTGTTTCAATTGTGTGTTTTATTAATATTATGAAAGTGCGAACTCTGTTGTTATATTTGTTAGCTTACCATTATGATAGATTAGTCCATGGATTTACTGTAGTGTGCAATATAGTGTTTACGTAGTGAAAATATATATGTACGGATATTTTTATAATATATTTACAGAATTATTGTAGATAAGAAAAAAGTATTAAAATAAAAAACATTATAACTATGCCTATTTGTTAGATATAGAAACTTTATATGTTGTGATACTTTTTGTATTGGTTGTATATGTATTATGTTGTTAAAAAAATGATAAAGTAATTAAAATTTGTTTAAAAATAAGTTAAAACCAACCTTAAAACATTATACTTTTATATTAAATGGATCGTAGGTAGGAGTTTTTTAATGTCTTATCAAGAAGTTACAAGTATAAATCAGATTGAAAGGAAAGTAATAGAAAACTACCTAAATAAAATGTATCATCTTGTCAAAAGCTTTCACATTTTCTTTTGTACGATATTGTTGATGTAATACGTGTAGAATATAGAGGTTGTTTTTGTTTAGTTTCAAGATATTTTTATTATACTTATACCGATAAATAAATGTGTAGTGTATTCACAAATTTAGAATAAACTTGACTTGACTTAATTTCCTCTTGTCAATTTTTCCTATATTATTAATTAGCATCTTTGTGAGTGTATATGCATGTATATTTTATTGCACTCAGAAATACACAACATTTTAGGTAACGATTTTCGTTTCATTGTAAGCTAAGGTTACAAGGTCTATCATAATTGAAGTTAACTGAATATTTTTAACCATTTTCTAACTTAGTTTCTAAAAACTGAGGTTAGGATTCTTCATTAAAGTATCATGTGGAAACTTCAACGTTTCGAAAGTATGCATTAATTAGTTTAAAAATCCAAATCAAGTTAGTTTATATTTTCACAAAAACGTCCATTAATAATAATAAATAATCGATTCATTAAAACGGTTCGTATGTCATCTGTCTAAACTCATCTGTCAGAATAATTAACTCATTTCAACTGTCATTGCTACTATAGTTGCACACTGTGAAAGAGGCGGAACAAACCAGTTTCCACTTGGACGTTAGAATCATTTATGAAAGCTCTGCTATGTTGTTTTTCAAAAAATAAAGTCTTCATGTGGTAATATTTTATTTAGAAAAGGTAAAAAAGAAGGCAATACTTATTTATGGAATGAAATATCACAGATTATTAACTTAGGAACTCTCGCTGCAGCCATCTAATCAAAGCCGCTAGTAAACAATCTGGCAAGTCCCAATCTCTTGGATCGTCTGCTTGGAATTCCATCAAACAATTATCGATATTTAATATTTCTTGATCTTCTTCATCATCAGAAATTTCATATGGATCTCCGTATCTTGGTATGATATACCCGTTGATAGCAGCTATGAGCTGATCTAATTCCTCCTCTTCAGTTCCTGAGGGAAACGGTCTACGGATTAGGTAATCATCATTTAAATTCAGTCTGACGTGGGAATAGATTTCATTGATGACGTGGATGTGTTTTCTCCACCATTGGGCATCCATAAACTTCAGCTGCATTTTGAGTAATTTTAAAGCGTATACCTTGAACATGGTGTTGTTGACTTTAATGCATTCTGTTAAGGCACTTCTGGATTCGATCGTTATCATTTCAGATAGTCTGAACTGTTTCCATTTGACTAGTTTATTTATAATTCTCACTAGATTTATGCAGTTGAACATATTTCTGGCAGATTGATGACAACATGCAATGAGGCTCAATCCCATTTTGCTGTCTTCACGATTTCTAAGTACGTTGTAAGGAAAATCTAGGTCAGTGACATCGTTGATTTCTTGGACGTAATTGTTAAGGTTGCTGCGGAAAAATGCAACGAAAAGAGTAAGAGTGTTGCAGCTGTCAAGTAGTCGGCACATGTGTTCAAACTTGTAAATGTGGTTTAGCTTAAGGTGTTTCAGTAATAGCAACAACATTGCCGAGATTGCCTTCAACATGATGGCTTGATATCTTCTCCCATCCATCATGAGTATAACGTTGTAATTACTGGCCGCATTATCGATAGCTTGCTCTATACCTCTAATGTTCGGTCTACAACTAAATGTTTTCCGTTGTGTTCTGAAGAAGATAAAAGTAACGATTTTCATTAAACTTAGTAAAAATAAGTCTAATTTATTATGCAACGCGCGATAGAAAATTTCTATCGGTGGTTGGTCACCGTTTTCGTCTTTCTTTCCGGGACCATTTTCCTTGACGACTATACTTTTTCTATGTTCTTCAGCTTGTCGCTCTCCTAGAGGTGTGTACACGTACTTTGACATCACTTCAATGTTGCGGAGAACCCTTGGTGGTAGCCCACGTATTGATCGATCATTTGCTGCAAAACTGGAGTACTTTGCTCTTGCTGATTCTAAAAACTTCGTCAAATCTTGTCTGTAAACCTTTGGCTTCTTTCTTGGGGACACTGCACAGGGTTCAGTTCTGGTGGAAACAACTTGATGAGAGGGCCCCGGCCAGCTATGATCGGCTGCTAAGTTGTACTGAAGTCTCTTCACCTTTTTCTTCTCTTCTAATTCATGCAGACCACCTAGAGTTACCAGAAGGATTTTCCAGATCAACAGAAGCATCTTCTTTATAGGAAAACCTTCAGAGTGGATATTACAGTCGGCAAATCTAGCTATCAACTTAAATAAGGTTGTAATGAAGAGCTCGCCGTCTACGGCGGTCAACATATTTGAACGAAACGATGATATTTCTTCCCCATAAGGAGTGTCAGCATTATTACCTTCATTTCTTATTACTTCTGTAATTGTATATAATATACTCAGCATCGGCATCATAACGTGGAAACTTCCAGAATTTGGTTTATCTGCATTACGAAATTGTTCACCTTCTCTTCTCGTTAAGGTTACCAAACTATCAAAAACTCCAATACGATACAAGAGAATTGCGTTAGTTCGGAGAACTTCGGCATGTTCCTCCTCTAGGACAATTTCACCCCAGTTGCCTTGGGCGATGTATAGAAGAGCTCTGATAGCGGTTAGCACAGTTGTTTCATTTTGTAGTTCACCCATCAAGCGAAATATTATGTCCACTCTTTGGCCATCTGATAGCTTACTCCACTCTAATTTTATTCCGTACTCATTTAGTCTGTTCTCGAAGGCAGCACGATAGATGTAAAATGTTTCGTCTTCACTATAACTATAAAGTTCCGCTAATTCCACCATTAACCCTTCGCTGTCTTGGTACTGATAGCCATCACTATCACGAGTCACAGGATGTTCCTTCAGTAAGTGTTTTATTAAATATAGGGGAAAATCATCTACTATGTTCCGATCACAACAATAGAAAAAGCTTAAAGAAAATAAATACAGATATTTGGAAAGGGAAACTGATATTAAACTTACTTTCGTATAGAGTCTGCAGTAGGACCGTCTGTTCTGACAGATCTAAAACAAAAGATTTTAGAGCATTTTAGTGATACAGAGGTGGGCTATACACTTTAGTTACCTGGAAGGGGACAAGCTCAGGGTAGCTGGCCTGTAAATGTAACTATAATAGGTAAATTTGTTAAAAAATGTGACGATGTTAGTACCTGCTTTTTGTGCCACTTGTTGATGGAATTGGACTACTGGATCTTTCGCTAAATCATAAAAGAACAGCATCTTAGTGGTAAATAAATGAAATAGACACGTTAGTTACCTGGAGGGAGACGATCTTGGAGTAGGTGGCCTGCAAATGGAATTATTATAAATACATTTTTTTTTTAAATGTGACCATAGTAGTACCTGCTTTTGCCACTTGTTGATGGTCTTCCGCTATCGTACTCTCCTTGACCACTGGTACTTCTAAAACATAAAACCAACAGCTTGGAGAAAATGAATCAAATGTATACGTTAGTTACCTGGAGGGAGACGATCTTGGAGTAGGTGGCCTGCAAATGGAATTATTATAGATACATTTTTTTTAAATGTGACGATAGTAGTACCTGCTTTTGCCACTTGTTGATGGTATTCCGCTATCGTACTGTTGTTGACCACTGGTACCTCTAAAACATAATATCAACAGCTTGGAGATAAATTAATTAAATATATACGTTAGTTACCTAGGAGGAGACGATCTGGGAGTAGGTGGCCTGCAAATGGAACTATTATTATTATTATAGATTTATTTTATTAAAAATGTGACGTTAGTAGTACCTGCTTTTGCCACTTGTTGATGGTTCTCCGCTATCGTACTCTCGTTGACCACTGGTACTTCTAAAACATAAAAACAACAGCTTGGAGATAAATGAATCAAATATATACGTTAATTACCTGGAGGGAGACGATCTTGGAGTAGGTGGCCTGCAAATAAAATTATTATAGACACATTTTCTTAAAAATGTGAGCTGAAGGTTAGTACCTCATTTTAGGACTTGTTGTTTGAATTGGACTAGTGGATCTTCGTCGAACGGTGGCACCTCTAAAACAAAAAGGAACAATATTTTAACGGTAAAGAAATAAAATAGACACGTTAATTACCTGTAAGGAGACAACGTTGGTGTAGCTGACCTGTGAATGGAATTATACCTATATTTGCTTAATCATGTGACGATATTAATACCTGCTTCTGACACTTGTTGGTGGAATTGGACTACTGGCTCTTCCTGGAACGCTGCTAGCTCTAAAACATGAAAGAACAAAATCTTAGCGGTGAATAAATGAAACAGACACGTTAGATACCTGAAGGGAGACGATTTTGGAGTAGCTGACCTGTAAATGGAATTGTTATATATAAATTTGCTAAAAAATGTGACAATTTAGTACCTGGTTTTGCGATTTGGTGATGGTTTTGGACTAGCGAACTGTGGTTGACTGCTGATACTTCAAAAAAAAAAACAGTTTAGAGATAAATGAATGAAATATCTACGTTAGTTACCTAGTGGGAGACGATGTTGGAGTAGATGGCCTGCAAATGGAATTATTATAGATACATTTTCTTAAAAATCTGAGGCGAAGACTAGTACCTGATTTTTGGACTTATTGATGAACCTGGATCACTGGATTCTCGTTTACGACTAAGTCTGGAAGTTTCAAAAGTACTTTGTTGACTTTCTGGAATTATTTCCCTACAAGAAATATTGTCTGTAAATTTATTTGTTGATCTACAGAGGTAAATTAGAATAAGATTAAGTCACACTATAGAGAAATTTTCTTCTTTACTAGTTGGCAGCCGTAACACTATCCCGAAAGACTAAAATTAGTTCTGCAGACAGAATTAAATGAAAAAAATTGTATTAAAACAGAAGGATTTGTAAAAATCTGTACAATGAATAATTTTCCGAACCCAAAATATATTCCCTCAAAAGAACAAAACAAATTTAAACGATTACTAACTTGGATGAGGAAATTCAGTTTCTATGTAAAACCAGAAGGCTTTTGCTGTAATCAAGAAATCAGCACCAGAACTACAAAAAACATATCAAAGACACAGGAAGACGAAATGATTGTCTTTGACTTTGCGAAGAACAACAGAACGAATTAGCAAAATTGATTAACAAAAAACAAGTGACAAAATTGAAATACTACCTACTTTCTTCGTTAATTTCTTTAACAGATTAATTGTTTTTTGACAGTAAGATT